CCGCAATTACTTCGGTACTTACAACGCCTTCACTTGCAGTTGAAGCCTCACTGCCACAACAGTGCGAGTCGCCGTACTTACTTTGGGGGGCTTCCCAGTCTCTCCTGGTTTCATGACCTTCTGTGCTCTAGTGACGAATCACCATCTATGCTGGTAGGTCCTCTCACGGCTTGTGGGAGGATTCGGACGATGTTTTTAGAGACGATTGTCAGCAAACACATGTACCATGATCCGCAGGAACTGAAAACTTGCTTTTGATGGCCGGCTATCACCTCAATAATCACCAAAGCCACGGTAATGTCTGTCAACCACCTAAACCTCGTTTTTCCCGATGTGTTCACTAAGACTACTAGACCGGAAAGATAATGAAAACACCGGCTAACTTGTGCAGCTCTCACATCCCGTGAAGAAGGATAAAATGTAGGCAGAAGGCTGAGCTACATCAAAATGGGACGAGAAGAACAAGAAAGAAGTTATAACAGTTTTGTGGTTCTATGGACAGCTCTTACCGGGGGGCCTTCACCTTGTCTTAAGCAGACCGAAGTCAGCGTGTCTCTATAGAGAGATTCAACAAGAGGTCGAACGCGAAGAATCGTGGGGCTCTCAAACGACTACCCCGCTGCCCAATGAATGACCTCCTTGAGAAGGCGGGAGTGATCATCAAGATATCGGGTGAGTTATGAAGCCTGGCACTAATGAATGAGTAGGTTCTTCGGTCTCCATGGTTTTTTACACAACAAGACACACAATCACCGACTGCTGAGGGCTTTGGATCTTGACAACTACATCAGTGAACCGCTACGGTCATCCAAAGTTAGAAGCTTGCCATGACATCTGGTTTAGGTTGCCCTCACTTGTCCCTACATCAGCCGGGTGAAGGCGGTGAAGATGAAGAAATCTTTTCATCATATCGTGAGAAACAACACTCATTTGGACAGAGAGCAAGAAACTAGGTGGTTGGTCAAACTCGGCTTTTAACTTGGCGGTGATACAGGCTGACATCTCAAATACACGGCAACTTGATTATCTTCGCCCGCGGTAGGAGGCCTGTAAATCCAGCTGACTAGTTGATAGCGACTGGTAGATAGCAAATGGTTGATAGCGAATGGTAGGAGAGTAAAGAGCTCACGTAGTTGCTCCACAACGATGTTTCTGAATGCTAAAGCCAGAGTATGTGCGTCTTACAGTAAACAACAATACCTAAGACAGGCTACTAAAAAACCACAGGCAGGTTTTTGTCCTTCTTATACACTCAACCTATAAACATCGGGCTGTGGTGAAGACTGGAATCGTTTGACTAACTCGTAGAAAAGACTGGACGTCGATTAATAGCCTCTCAAAGGGGAGCAAATGGTTTTTAGTACTGGAGGGGTGTTTCACGACCACTGATTTTCCGAGCTTTTCGTCTATGGGTAGTTTGAGCTACAGGGTGGCTCATGAGAACGGACTGTAGGTACTACCAAATTAATGGTGATTTTCTTCTAACCATTTCTTGCAATTGCACACAAATTGTCAGTCATCGTGAAAGAGTAAACAGTGGTGGCTTGACTTTAGGTGCATCTGGCATTTGTCCGCTTGATGGCTGAATTCCTACAACTCGTCCAACTTATGCCAACGCCAGCATTCTTTAATTTCTTTTAAACTGACCCCATCTAGGTTCTAAATGCTATCTACTTTTGTCAAACTGGTCCACCTGCCAGGTTGTGATCTTGCTGCCAAGGCGGAGTGTCCAGCTTTCAGCTCATCGCACTACGTCAGAGCCTCAGTTTGGTAGTAAGATAATTCCATGACCTAGATTACGGTGATGCCGTACGTCATTCTGTTGATTTGCGTTTATCTAGGAAAGTGAATTTATAAGAGCTTTTTATATTTTTACTGATTTATGCTTTAGCGGTGAAATATCTTCACAAAGGGGGGACTTAAAAGTTGGAGAATCTAGCCGAGTAGATGATGGGGTCGATTTCACGTTTCTTCTGCGCCGCCATGTAGTCCTCACGGGAGACCGCCTGATTGCAAAAGTCTTCACAATAATCAGCCGGAAAGTCGTCTTCGCAGAGGACTTGGCAAAACAATCGGTGGAACTTGTTTTTACCCTCCTGCAAATACTTTAACCCGTTTTACACAGCAAAATACTGAGGTGGTATAGTACTTGCTACTTAATGTAAACCAAGTAGGCGTTATTTTGTAGAAGTCGAACTCGTGCATCTAAGGTAAGCTGTCATTCGAATGGTTGTAGCGGAGTGCGCGAAAAAGCCTACTAGATGCCTCATAATTTGGGTAGAATCGCCTTTTTATCATAGCGCAATGAACAAACGGAGGAGAGTTGCCAAACCAAAGTAACGAAGGGGGGAGTTAAGGATTCACACTAACATGGCTGATCTGAAAGCTCTACAGCCTTTGTATCGCCCGAAACCGTATTCAAGAGGGTTAAGCCTAATTTACAATCGCTTGACCTGTGAGGTCACAGGGGAACTTATCAGTTTCTTGTAGAGGAATTTGATTGACGCTGTGTCTTCTATCTTGCCTGGGACATTTCGCTAGACTGCAACTCCAATTGGTATTAGTTTAACAACGAGAGATTTTAAATGAGAAAGTGATATGTATTAAAAGGGAAGGATTTGTTGCGGGTGTTTTCGTACTACCACGTATACAAATTATCTCTCTCTAAGCTAATTAATTTCATGGTAAATTTAAAGAACGAATACGTGGTTTTTGGCACTTTTTTGCACCTAATAATTTCCTTCTTAAAAAGGAGTACTTTTTACAAATGAGCTGCAATTTTTCCATTTTCAAGGTGGAAAACATTTGTGTAAAATATATATGAGCATCTTGCGAGGCAAACCTACCGCTTCCGAGGCGGGAACAGCAATCGAAACTACGAAGAGCACGGCGAAGACGACAGTTACGAGGGCACGACTCATGGTGGTAGTAAAGAGGAAACAAGATTTGTTTTTCAACAAAGAAGAGGCTTAAATTTATGCCTCCTAAAGTGACCAATCAATTTTCCACTATTAGGCGAGGTGAGGGGTGAGGAGGGTTAAGGGGAGGGAGAAGGACGCAAACTCGCCTCCCATTGGTTAGTTGTTAATTATGCAGACTTCGCAAACATAGCTTTTATCACCTAATTGCTTGAATTTAACTACTACTTCTTTTTCCCTCAAATATGCAACTTTTGTCTCAGGTTTAGGTTAGATAAAATGGCAGCTTGCTGGAGGCGTTTTAACCGATGTATTTAGGACTTAAGAAGTGCTGTCGTCTATCGTAGGAGAAACTTAGCAGGCCCTTCTAATCAGAAAATGCAGGGACCGAGGCATCTTTCAGCGGATTATTCTGAGTTTACAAAAGAAAATGACGTTGTCAAGGAGTAGAAAATGCACTTTATTCCGTTACAGTCTCCACTGCTACTTTTATGTCTGTGGAATGGTAAAAAGCGCTAGGACGGCCGACATCACCACTGATAGGCGTACGTCCATCTTTGACACATTTACCGAATCAAATGCCTTGTTTCCAAGGTCCTGGACATGCTTGAGCTTACCAAGAGGAGTAGATTTCCCTGGATTCGCGGTCGACGTCTGCATTCATTTCCAGCAAACCGATCCAAGGGTGGACTCACTGCAGCTACTGTCTGGTACCTTGAATAGTCAGGTTACGGGATGTATCCACGATGTGCGCGCGGGATGTTGGTAGGGAGATTCAACTAGCGCCCACTGCAATTACAGAGTCAACTATCCCCACTAAACTTGAATCTAACCGACTCGGTGTTTTCTATCCACTAACTCGTTTTAAAAGTACAATTACGCTTGGGTGGCCTTATTAGATAAAACGTTCTTCCTCCTACTTGCCACTCCGCAAGGCACTGGACCAGATCAATATGGAGAGGCTGCAGTACTGTGAGCCTAGACGCAATGCCATAGCCCCCAAATAGTGACCAAAACTGGCAAAACTGAGAAGTCTGGGTGACTAAATGCGTCATTAAAACAAGGAGTCCCCTATTTTCTATGCTCACCCTCCTGTCCTCACTGGATCGTCACTAACTGCGGTGATGAGTGTAATAAACTTTGAGTCAGAAAATGAGGCAGTGCAAAGGATCCGCCTACTCGACTGGAGAGGCCTCGAAACCACTTCGAAATATCACCGTTTATTGAAAAACTCTTCTTTCGGGTCAATGTTCCTACTATTAGCAATGGACTTTTGGGATGATTAGCACCTCTCTTCTTTACCCAGATCTAGTGGAAGTGCAAAGGTGATGTTGCAGTCAGTTTTTTCTCAGTTGCACACTAATTTGGTGACTGATGCGGTTGGTTTGTGGATGCCTTTCTCACAGCACTGACTACGCTGTGATGATCGATGCAGTGGTTGACCCAAGGGGGCGACGTGGACTGCGACTAAAAGGGGGTGGGGGGCTATGTAATACCTTAGTGATTTGTTAAAACCTCCGTTTTGGTTTTACGGACACTTGAACTTCCGTCCTTGTATTTCCCCTAGATGGTATAGCATCTAGGCGGTGCCAGTAGCCCCCAGACCTTCTCTACGTCGGCAGTACATGGTCCACCCTATCATAATGCCTTCTTTCGACTTTAAAAAAACTCAAGGAGCTACGTTTTATATTGAGAACTCTATCTGAGAGGTATTTATTGTGTTAAAGGCTGGTTCCTGCTTTACAGCAGTATCTACGGGACTTGTGAATTGACCAACGAAGCGTGGAATCTTGGCAATGAATAAGGCTTGTATCGCCCAGAACCGATTCGTCCTCATTCAGTCTGAACCAAATCAATCCTAAAAAAAGACCTTTTTCGAGCCCATGTTTCCAACTCCAATTTTCACTAAAGAGGACCAACATCAAGATTCAAGTTTCGGTGTTTTTGAGGGTTTCACACACCACCTTTAGATTTAGAGTCCCAAAAGTTTTCTATGCCGTTACGCAGTGATCAAGCATTTGACGATCAAAGGTGACATAAGTTGAAGCAAAACCTCACGGCTTTCCGGTTCTAAGCTAAGAAAAAAGATTTGCTAACGACATCGTCCAATTTGAGACTGCTAAGGAATCGCCTGCCTTAAAAAAGGCATTGAAGTTGAACTTACCCGTGAAAGAGCACGAGGTCAAAGCCGTAATTCACACTTTCATTACTAAACGCTTAGGCATCTCTATTTACCTTCACGCTTAACTTTTTACTAGGTAGGAAATGACCAGAACACTTGCCTCCCCGTCGGTGAGTGGAAAAGGCCATTGGGGCAAGTTTTGTCTCTTCCTCGTCAATTTGAAAGTGAAATATCCACCAGTATATGCGACTTGCCCATTATCAATAGTGCAAAAAGATAAAATGAGGCGACAACCTTTGGCAAACTTAAAATTATCAGAAGAAAATGGGAGGAATTTAGCAATTCACCCATAATATAAATAAATATCCATATTAAATTGATTAGAAGGTTAGTCATATTTCTTTTATTTTTTGAAGTCTGTCAGAAAATTGAGTCGTGATTTTAGGGAAACGAGTTTTGCATCGGTATTAGTGGTATATATTGTTAAATTTAATTCACACTTATGGGAACTGATTCCTAGAAAACTAGCGGCTTGATACATAACTTCTCTGCCCAAATTCCAAAAAACTCTGGAATCAAACTTATCTAGCTGCATCATTATCAATCCTTAATTAAAGCATATGGTGAAAACTTGTTCTATGCGTGATGACAGATTTAATCGTAGATGAAAACCCATTAAATACTTGTAAAAAGTCGGCAACACTAAGTGGACCATTTGTACAAAACCCAACTAAACTAAAAAAGAACTAAAAAACTCTTGGTAGGTGCGGTACTTTTGGGCGCATTAAACAAAATGACATGGACCATATACCTTCTTCGAGGTAGGCAGGTGCTCACACATTATCACGGGCCTAATCTTAGGAATAGTAGTCTAGCCCACTCATTGAAACTAATCAAATTTATTTTAAAGTGCGAGTATTTGAGAAATGATTCAAACGTCTGGACGTCAATTTATAGAAAAGGATAGTGAAGTGGTGACCTTGTCTTCGCGCTCAACTTATGAAATTCCGTTGCTCCCGTGACGGCAGGTTGACGACTACGCAGCAGTCATGCGTATAAAGCGCTTTCTCTTGCGGTACTATCCGCCTGGTAAATAGCAATTATTTCTGATTAAATTAGGCATTATCCTAGAATATAAACAAGGGGATAACGTTAGAACGAGACCCATTGAACTTCCGTATTTAGATTACCAGTATTCATAGATATAATCCAAGTGTTTTAGAACTGATTCGGGGTGTCTAGCAAAGAAGGTTGTGAAAAATGAGCCGCTTGTTAGGAAAAAGCGCACGGCCCAGATTGAGGAGCTAATAGAAAAGTTAAAGTACAAGGCGTCTGTCCCGGACAAAAAGCAATTTACGGAGGTTAAAGTAATTGTGTATCATGTATACTTCTAATTGCTAAGATATTTAGATGATTAAGGCGCATGATCTTCCATTAACGAATCTGTCATTTAATAAAACTGGCAGTCAGTAAGTTTACATACCAATTAATACCATCAAATATAATGCTCCCGGTGGCACCTAGGTTCCAGTTGCACCTCGTTTCTGTCCATATCCTTTATTTTAGGTTTTTATAAGCCTAAAATAGTCCGGGTTAAGGTTTTATTCTTCCCCTGTTTGTTTAATTCAGCTTCATAACAGGCTCGTATGACAGAACCTGTAAAATTTGGGACGCAGCCACTGGTGAGGAGGTTCGAACACTAGACGGGCACACAAATGTCGTTTACACTGTGGCTTTCAATTTGCCTGTTTCAGGTAAACTTTCTCAGTATAGTCAATTTCGGTTTCCATATTTACTTAACCCTACTATATTTCGTGCCTTGTTCCCAATTGCCTTAAAGCCAAAGTAACGACCACAAGTTTGAATACAAACTGTCAATTTTTTGACGCCATTTTGGGGGATTTTGTCCAGGGTCAGCGCACTCTTGTTCTAGATCGAGTAGCGACAGGGTCCTTTGACAAAACCGTGAAATTATGGGACTCCGAGTCAGGCGAATGTCTGCGTGCTTTTGAAGGACATTCCGCTGAAGTTGTTTGCCTCCAATTCGCCAGCGACAGTAGGCTTCTAGCTACAGGTATGTCTTATTAGATGTATGGTTGCCATCACGGTCGTACTGAGTAGTGACGTCATCCCACAGGCAGCATGGATACCACGGCCAAGGTGTGGGACCTTGAGACGGGCGTCGAGATGGCCAGTCTGTGTGGTCACACGGCAGAAGTGATTGCGTTACACTTTGTCGGTCGAGACAACCGCCTCCTCCTGACTGGCAGTTTTGATCATACTGCAGCGTTGTGGGATCATCGCACCGGTCGTCGCGTCCGCCATCTTAGCGGACATTCGGCAGAAGTGGCCGCAGCTGCCTGCTCCTTTGATGGACGTTTTGTCGCAACCGCGTCGATGGACAAAACTCTCCGAGTGAGTGATTTGTGATCGCGGAGGTGACGTTGTCAGAGACAGTTGAAAAGGTGATGGGATCAATTTACTTACCACGTAAAATTTAGACTCATCACTATCATTAATAAGCAACGCACTCCCTATTTACATTTGGTACATTCTAAGCCCGTGTACCCTTTAAATTTTGATTGGGCACTCACCCTTTGCAGACACGTGGTAGACACAAGGATGCAAAATTGGCCTCTTGAGATTAAACATCACTAAGAAAACGTAGACGGATTTTATTGAATACACTTAACTGTAACGTTCTAGAGGCTTTGTGATCGTATACTTACTTTTCAGCCTTTTTAGGTCTGGGATACACGCAAAGGAGCCGAACTAGCCATACTCCGTGGTCACGTAGATGAAGTCCTGGACGTCTCCTTTGACCTCTCGGGCCGTCAACTAGCCAGTGCTAGTGCCGACGCCACTGCCATCCTCTGGAGCACCGACCAGGCTGACGATATTCACAAATCCAAGAAGCTCAAAGGTCATGAGGGTGAAGTGAGCAAGGTAGGATCGGCCGTGGTTGACAGGAGCAAAGGGATCTAACATGGCGCTTTGTAGGTTTGCTTTAGCCCGCGTGGCCACACGCTGATGACTGCGAGTGCGGACAAGTCTGTGCGTCTGTGGGATACACTGACGGGCGAGCTGCGAGATGTGTTGGTGGGTCACAGCGATGAGGTTTTCAGCTGCGCGTTCAACTACGATGGGGATACGATCATTACGGGATCAAAGGACAACACCTGTCGAATTTGGCAATAGCTAGGCGTACGAGGTTTGGAGAGCTTATTTGGCATGTTTTAAATACATATTATTGGCCGTACTGCCTTGATGCTCTCAGGAATGGGGGGGGGGGGGAGACGGGTAGTGTCGACCCCTTTGGGGTGTGGCTAGTCCCCCATTAGCCCCAGACTCTGGGGTATTGAGTTGCTAACATCTTAGTATGCAAGAGAAGAATGTCTATTTTGTGCAAAAAGTTGGGAGAAAGTAAACACCCCACTACAAGTCCCTAGTTCTCTCCTCTGTTATGTAAAGGAGGCAAGTAAATAACCAGACACGTTTGGATGACGACACTTAGTGAATGCAATACATGCAATTGATAAAATTGGCATATTAGTTGCGAGCATGCGGAACTTGAACAACATTAATATCCTTGCTCTTGTTTAAGTTAGCCAAAAATCACATTTATCGAAGGCCCTCATGTGTTAACGTGCATTATGTTTCCTTCACCAAATTTGATAAATGGGCTAAAGTTATGGATCGCAATGCTCCTTTTTGGACCAGAAGATATTGGCTATCTGGATGGGGATTATAGAGACAATCTAAAAACCTCCAAGACAACACTATATTTACCGCTTATTTCACCATTTGGTAAAGGATTTAACACAACCCTTAAGACTTACCAAGTATCCCAACATCTACGATCTTTGAATATAGTCATCTACTTGACACTCCAGGATGGACACATCAACGATCTATCATCTACCATGGTACTTAGATGGAGTCACAAATGTGGCAAACACCACGAATTGTCCCTACCGATTAAATGGAATGGAAGAGGATTCGTACCAACTTTTGATCATAGAATCCTTGGAACAACCATATTTAGGGGTTATATTATATCAGTGTCAAACTATTGGATGGCCCACTTTTCTTTTTCTACGCCAGTCACTGTCGAATCACTTGGTGAACATAGTTTTTCCCTAATCAATGCCAACGGCGATGCAATTCGGAGGAGCCCAACATTGCTTTTAAAAACTCAGGTGAATAAAGATATTAAACGGAATCTTTCTTAGTCACTTATCAGTTCCATGAAAAGTCAGATTTAATGAACAAAGTGGAACTTGCATTGGATTACTCACTTACTAACGTCGAAGTTTTAATGTTTCATAATTTGTAGGAAGAGGGTTCCTTGGTTCCAAGGGCTGGTAAGATATGCAGAGGTGATCCACGCATCTGTACAGCCATAATTCTTCCAAAGGGAGGCGGACCCGAACACACCATCTGCCGCAGAATGAGTGTAGCCTCCCTGAATTTTTTGCTCACCGACAAGGATACCCAGGCGAAGGATCAGATCATCCACGAAATCGGTATTGTTGCGATTGCGCTCGCTATTTCTGCTATCATCTCCTTTATCATCGCGAGTTTCTACGCCCTAGGCCGCAAGAGGAAGGTTCTCCGTTCTTCCATTTTTCGAGCCAACACAACGCAAAGGAGAGCCTCCTAGCCCCCCCATTTATTCTATATAGTTTCTCGAGATGTTCATTGATCAGTCTGTAGGGAATAGTATTAATGTTCGGATTTTCTGTAGTTCACTTAGAGTGGCGTACCCAAGAGAGGGTAGTAAATTTCGGAATCTATGATAGAGAGCGGAATATACTTCACTTTGTTGCATTACAACACCACCCAATTACGGTAGGAATCAGAGAATCAGGGTCTAGGCGCTATGTTCCTCCAAAAATGTCCGGAGCATCTATCCAAGCACAGGATGCATTAAAGAAAAGTAGAAAAAAGCTCAAGATATGGGGTGGGAAGGGGAAGGAAACGGAACATGCCAAAGCAGAGTGCATGGTGAAGAGGAGAGCACTATGCAGAGATCTGAAGGTAGAGGTTCTTGTCCAATTTGCCGTACTCGCAATAGTGACCGCAGCCAGCCGGGCACTCGGCACGGCGAGTGATCCACTCCTGTGTGAAAAAAAATGGGAAACATCTAGTGCTGGCAGGGTGTGGGACGATATCTGCTGCTTTTGTCATCTGGGACGATTGCTAGCGCAAAGACGAATCACCTAAATCACCATTTAAGAGTGGCATCCACTTGCCCTAATGTGATCCAGATGGCCGCCATGACTGCAGCCAATGCACCAGAGGTAGATGCCCCTCACCGTCATGTGGCATACGGCGCAGGTAGAGAGCACTGTCTCGGCGCTCCGATGACGACCACACGCCCATGCAGTATGTGGTGTCGCAGATGGCGCGGAGCCACCGGCTGAGGTGGAGGCGGTGACGGAGGCAGCGGAGCGTTGCAGAGGTTTCGAGCATTTGCCGCAACGCACTAAGACACTTGTACCAGTCTGATTGAGGATGGCGATGTGACGGGCCAGAGGCAGGGCGATGAACGCCGGCTTTACTGCCAGGTAGATGGAAAGGGAGAAATGCTACTGACACTTATAAGTAGGTGTTGGTAGAATAATTACACTGTGACGGTAGACCACCCACCCCTCCTTTTCTTGAAAGAACATTCTTTGGACTCCCGCTATCTAGGAACCACAGAAACTCACCACTACTGGAGCGTTTCTTCAGCACGAGGTGCTGTTGTATTGACTCCGCAGCGCGCGGTGTTGGGACTGTGGTAGCGGCAGTAGCAGGTGCACCATTCAGCGTCGTCGGAGACACCGGCACCACGCCCTGACTGCCGCCACAATGCTTAATGATGCGTGTTGCTACAGTCCACAGACGGAAGCGAACTAACACGTCTACAAAGCGGGAAGCATTGCTACAGCTGCATTAAACACCCAGGAAATATACATCACCTGTCAAAGTAGCGATTAGAGCCGTCACTAAAATGGGGAGGGGGGAAAGAGGGAAGGGCAAGAAGTGCCTGATGGTGGACTGACCAAGGTAGGCGGAGAACCACATCTCAATTTGCTTTTCACTCGCCCACTCGTTGATACGTGTGCGCTCGGTGCCGAAGATGAGCAATGCGGTACACACCGACTGCACGTGACCCGCCTCAATCTGACAAGGGAACAGACGCGGTAAGATGTAACTCCAACTACCGTGCTGAGATGTCATGGAGGGGAGGCAACCGCAGCGGACTGGTCAATCACTAGACTTCCAACGGACAACTGCGCAACTATGAGGTTCTGCATCCTAAACAGCAATCGAGCACGACCAGATTTGAACTGATTCGAATCATCGTTAGAAACGATTTGAAAGTATGCAAAGAACATTCATGACTTGAGATGTCAATGTCTTTAAACATTAAACATTGGAGAATAGGAATGAGGAATAGCCACAGGAGAGGTCTGTGACGATCTAAGCAGGACAACAATTAAGTGTCGGGGTGGGTTCTAGGGCGGACAATCCTACCACGCCACTTATTAGTTATTTAAGTAGTAAATGAGCTAGCTACCAGTTCAAGGAGCCAGGCGCCGACAAGGTGGGTGAAATCCAGAGGGCAAGTGAGATTTGCCACGACAGTTGGGTCCACGGCCTCCACGCAATCCGTAGCCGAGGTGAGATCGAGACGGGCGGAGGGGTGACGCTTGTCTAGGGCGGAAGCGTCTCTGAGAAAAAAAACAAGTATAGACACATCTCGAAAGAATGCTCTGTGGTAGTTTCGGGATGCATAAAAGGGCTAAAAGAGAAGGTGATAATCAGATGAGTTTTAAACGCCAGAAGGTCGAAAAAGCATAACTTTGGAACCTTGAACAATAAAAAGCATGGATGTATTAGACCTCATCAAAGCAGTCAGAAATGTTACCGAAACTCGTGCGACCTGTGACTGTGCCACGTGGCAGACTCTTCTGTGGCGTTCTTCACTTCGGGTTCTGTGAAAGGAGTAGAAAGACGGCGGTTCATCCAGTAAACCCCTCTCATTCTGGCATAATCTAAGCGCAACCAGACGTGAAGTATAAGCACCTGTGGAACTGTCACGTCAACAAGTCTTCCCCTCGATTAAATATAAGCCCAATCACCCTGGGAGGTTTTTAAACTAATGGAAACTTGATAAGTGATCGAAAAGGGCGAAAGAAAAGAAACACGAACGTACTGCGGTTGGACTCGGGTAGTGAGATTCTAAACAATGGAAACACGGAGGCGCTTTAAGTTCGCATGGAAGGCTTCAACAGAGGCCGAGGATAAGGAAACAACACTCACTTCCTAACATCAGCCGCTTGCTGCTGTTGCTGTTCCGCCTCTGACGTCGCCATTATCACCGAGGAGGCCGAAACCGTCTCTTCAAAGAAGGCATCGGCCTCCGCGGGGAGAGAGCTAAAGCTGAAGAATGGTGTGGTGCACGATAAAACACCATCGGAGTGACGCAGTTCAACGCCACCGCCACCACCAATTCCGTCGCGATCCACACCATTATCACCTGTGAAGAGGAAATTCACCGAGCGACCCAAACTACCCGTGTCAGGCACCGAAGATGGCGGCTGCTGCTGTGGCTGGTGATGGTGATGTGGCAGTCCTGACGGAGGCGGCGGAGCTGCCGACCCCGAAATGGTGGAGGACGAGGCAGCGACACCAATAATGGAGGAGTCCTTCGGAGTCCCCGATTCCAGCACGGTGGTAACGGTGAACGCTTCTGAAGGAAGCAGTAAGAGGAAGAATTCTGTAGCCGAAGCTTATGGCTAGAAATTGAGATGATACGCCAAGTCACCTTCAAAAGTTAAATATGAGATTTCTAGACTTTAAACCCCTGTCAAGAATGACTTTTCAGCTTCGAAAGGCAGTAGATAGAGGCACCTCACGTGGCTGAAAGTAACCCTACCTCTCTCCACATTCTCCTCTGGCGTATTGACCCGAGAAATAAAATCGCGCACACAGACGCCATTGGAGTGGTTAGTGGCGCCCTCAGCTTGGGCAGAAAGACCTGAGGACTGCTGCGTCCGAGGGACGGCAGTGCACGGACACACATCTCGTTTGCAGTCACCTCTTTGCAGCTTGGTGCCAGTTCTGACAGAGACTTTGGTGGTCGTTGGAGGTGGTGATGACTGCCAACTGTGACCAAGGAACAACTTCAGGGTAAGCCAGAACTGGGAGAGCTAAAAGGTGGAGGAGGAGCCTTTGTCTAGCGCCAAAACTGGTTGTGATAGGTGGCCAACGTATCGATAATGGCGACTCATTTATTCCTACCACTAAGTAATGAAATTTCAACCAAGCGCAACACATAGTAAAACCAGCCTAACTTAAAAACACATCAAGACAAAATGTCGACTCACGAAATCCTGGTTCATATGACGAGCCACAGCAGCATTGTGGTTACAGACCTCCTCAATGTTGCTACCAGAGATACGGTAGTTCTTTGCCAGATAGATAAACGTATCGGGTAGGAGGAGGGAGGACAGAGGAGCGTCCTGCTCTGTAGGTTTCTGTACACACAAGGGAGGGAGAGATGGTCACTTTGGGAGACTCGACAAGAGGCATATTCACTCATTAACTACATATTTAGCAACGCATTTTAAGGGACTTCAGTGGAGCAAATTTCCCCTTGCAGCACAAATTGGTTTGAGATGATCATGTTGCTGCCCCATTTACTGCCTTTGGTTAACCAAAACCCAGATGATCCTCAGCACATGCCTGTTGAGGCGGCTGCAAAATAGCAAAAAAAGAAAAGCCAGCAGTTCACTGGTGGCAAGTTTTGGTAGACTTGGCTTTGAATGTTAATTCTTAACAAGCTGTGGAACACGATAAATCCACAACAGCAAATTTCTAATCAAGCACACTATTTAAGCCTCTGGGTTTTATGAGACTCACTCAACCTACTAAATCTTATTTCAGTAAAAAAAAAATGAGAGCAATGAGAGGTAGTCTTACCTCCAGAAGGAAGTCCGCCACGAACAGTTCGCTCTGACCTTGAGCGATAAAGACATCCGCGGGGATGATGCTTTCCGGCGTCTCGCTACCAGCTAGAGAGACAGTCCCCTCCCGATCGTCCAGTAGTAGCACAGAATTCGGTGGCAATACTGCAGCAGAAAAAATAAAACGTCCTCCTTCCCTTTCGTAAAAGTTCGATGCGAGATTTATTCTCAGAAGCACATACAACCCTGTTGTTGATGTCTACCTTACAAAAATATAGTTCAAGCAGCAAACGAGAAAACTCACAATGTCGCCTCGCAACCAGCAGTTGATGCGGCGTCCTCGTGGCTGTCGTTGTTGCCGTCTCCACTACATTGGAGGGGGCAACTCGCTGAGCTAACGAAACGTGCTGGCCGCGAGTAGTGGTGACGGAGGAGGTACAGTTCATTATTTTTCCACCGAGAACACGTTGTCCAGGCTCCCCGCCTAGGGCATGGGCAAGGGGTCCGCAGCAGTTGAGCGCCAACGCCACCGCGTTTGCCTCGCGGACCGTCTGCAGCCCGTCACCCACGTAGTGGCGCACCAGCAGACCATCACGTCCCACCGAGTAGAAGCTATTTGGTTCGGTGCTCCACGAGATGGCTAAAAAGAGGGGAGTGAATGCTATTAGTAGGCGTAAGGACAGATCCATTCTCAAGGCAAGATAAAACTGAGACACACATGATATGGTGTGGGAGTGGCCCTCAAAGGTAATGTAGGGAATGTAGGGTCGATTCAACTCCCACAGATGGATGCTCAGATCCAGACTCAGTGAACAGCTGGAGATGAGTTGGGTGGTCTGGAGTGAGACAGAGAAAAAAGGTGGGTTAAATAACTGACGCGAGTGTAGGGAGAAAAGTGACCAAACTAAAACCCGACAACCGAAATTGACGCACTCAATTAAGGAAAAATGCAGAATTGTTTGAAGAAAAGTGCCAATATTTTACTGGAAACTTTCACTCCGGTTACTCAAGAAGCTTAATTGGGTAAAGAAAATGCAAGTAGCCGTTCAAGAAGGCACTTTAACAGAAAAGTAGACAAACAGTAACGGCTAGTGAGAACTGTTATTAAGTTAGATGAAAAAAGAGGAGAGAGGCAGTAGTCGGAGCTGGGAAACAGGCAGATGGATCCAAAATTCAGCTTCAGCGAGGT